GCAGTTTTGAGTTGGAGTCTCACTCTGTCACCCAGGGTGGAGTGCAGTGACACACTCACCGCCACTGCAGCCTTGACCTCGACCTGCTGGTTGCTCAGGCTGCAGGCTCCCATGTTGTTTAGGCTGGTCTTGAACCCCTGAGCTAAGGCAATCCTCTTGCCTCCGCCTCCCAAAGCGCTGAGATGGCAGGCATGAACCACCACACCGGTAATTTCTGGTTCTCTTTTTTAGGGGGGAAGAGGGGATTGTTGAAGACTACACCTATCCCTTATGAAGCCACAAATGTCACAAAACCAGTGTTATGCCATGGTTTTGTGTTATGCCATCATAATGACAGAAGCAGAAGCCTGGTCTAAAATATCGAATTGTTTATTTAACCATTTGTCACACATTAATGGTAATGGTTAAAGATCAGTTAATTTGCTGGGTGCAGTGACTCACGCTTGTCATCCCAGCACTTTGGGAGGTGAAAGCGAGAAGATTGCCTGAGTCCAGGGGTTCAAGGTCAGCCTGGGCAACTTGGCGAGATACCTTGTCTCCATAATAGATCAAAAAATTATAGCTGGGTGTGCTGGCTCATGCCTGTAATCCCAGCACTTTGGGAGGTGGAAGTGAGAGGGTTACCTGAGCTCGGGGGTTCCAGACCCGCCTGAGCAACATGGTGAGACATCGTCTCTATAATTAAAAAAAGAAAAAATCAGCCGGGCGTGGTGGTGCATGCCTGTGGTTCCAGTTTCTTGAAAGGCTGGGGTGGAAGGATCCCCTGAGCCCAGCAGGTCGAGGCTGTGGTGGCCGTGAGCATGCCACTGCACTCCAGTCTGGGTGGCAGAGTGAGAATCTGACTAAAAAAAAAAAAAAAAAAAAATTAGTTAATTCAACCAGTCTAACACTTAGCCTATCTAACAAAAAGATTCCTTATAGTTAACAGGGCAAATTTAAACTTTAGGTACTATTTTAATCTTCACACCTGTTGATCACTTTTCCTTTCTGTGTTAATTTTACTTTCCTTGTAACTTTATTACAATTTTAGTTACGCTGTCATTAAAAAGGAGGGAACTGCTCTAGATAAAAAGAAACTTAAAAAACACAATGTCTAGCCGGGCTGGTGGCTCAGCCTGTAATCCCTCCCCTTTGGGAGGCTGAGGTGAGTGGATTGCCTGAGCCCGCAGGTTCGAGACCCGCCTGG